AGAAACAACGACGACTTTGTATGGAATTGTTTTCAGAAGCAACGACGACTTTGTATGGAATTGTTTTTAAATCACGATGGGAGGGCCCAGATGGACGGCCGCGCGCGATGTGCGCCGCGTCCTTTTCCTGCTACGCATTTCGCATCGTCGACGATTGGACAGGCCATGTTGAGAGAAAACCGACGAATTTGTTCTTTTAACAATTAAGATGGGAGGGCCCGGGTGGAACCCCTATCGGCAGGCCAGAGGGGGGAGGAACAGTATATTCAAATAAGGAATAAGGATAGGAATAAAAGGAGGAGAAGGAGGCGGAGGAGTGGAGGATAATGGAAAAATGAGGAGGAGGAAGAGGAGGAGGAGGAAGAGGAGGTGGAGGAGGAGGAGGAGGAGGAGGAGGATGTGAGAGGAAGAGAAAGAGAGAGAGAGATGAATAGTGAGAGCAGAGGAGTGAAAGAGGAAGAGGATGATGAGGAGAAGGCAAGGGGAAACGAAGGAGGAGGAGGAGGAGGAGGAGGAGGAGGAGGAGGAGGAGGAGGAGGAGGCGGAGAGCGGAAAAGGAGGAGGGTAAGGCGGAGGAAGGGAGGAAGAGCCGGAGGAGGAGGCCGGAGGCGGAGGAGGAGGAGGAGGAGGAGGAGGAGGAGGAGGAGGAGGAGGAGGAGGAGGAGGAGGAGGGAAACGGAGGAATAGGCGGCAGAGGAACAGGGCATGAAGAGGAAGAGGGTGGAAGGAGGAGGAGAAGAAGGAAGAGGAGGAGAGGAGGAGGAGAGGAGGCGGAGGAGGAAGGAGGAGGAGGGAGGAGGAGGAGGAGGAGGAGGAGCGGGACGACATCCTACCAACGGGGGGCCCATTCCTCACCCCCTCCCACCACCAGCAGCCTTTTGGACGAGCGCTCGCTGGGCCGAACAGGCGTGCAGGTGAGTCCCGACTTGCGTGAAGTCCGAATTCTTTTCGAACCCCTCCAGGCCGCCTCCTCTCCCATTCGGGGGTTGCTGAAGGTGCCCCTGGCCCAAAGGTGACCCCCGCTTCTTGCTCCATTTTGGAGCCCCTGGGGCCCTCTGGATCCCGTGAGGGGTGCTCTGGAGGCCGTGGGGGCCTCCTCGGGAATCCTGGGGGCACCTTGGGCCAGGGGCACTTCTCGCAACACCCATGCAAGGAAACTTGCCAGAATCCGAAAAAGAACGGCATCTTCTCTCTCATACCCTGGCCTCAGAAATCGCGCTTTTCTTGGCAGCGCGGTTCCCCACAGGTCTGGAACCCGTCCCATGGGATCGGCCTTATATCCAGACCTACTCGTTGAGGGTCCCCAGGGCTCTGGTGAGGGCCCCAGGAGCCGCAGGCGACAACACAGAGCCTTCCGGTGTGATTGTTGCAGGACGCGAGGAGGTGGGGTGGGCCTGCCTGGCGATGCCCTGGGAGTCCCGGCCTCAGGTGCACGGTTTCCCCCAGGGCCGTAGGCGACCCGAGGAGGAGGAGAAGGAGGAGGAGGAGGAGGGAGGAGGAGGAGGAGGAGAAGGAGGAGGAGGGAGGAGGAGAGGAGGAGGAGGAGGAGGAGGAGGAGGAGGAGGAGGAGGAGGGAGGAAGGAGGAGGAGGAGGAGAAGGACGGGTCGCCTAAGCCCTTTGGAGAAACCGTCCAGCCTCTGGATGGCGGCGAAGGCGCTGTTGAGCTCCCGGAGCTCGGCGAGGTTGTGGGTGGTGGCGACGCCCCCGCGGTCCGGCTGGCCGCCCCAAGTGCCAAGGCTGGCTCGGATGACAGCCTCCTCCTCCTCCTCCTCTCCTTCCTCCCTCCTCCTCCTCCTCTCCTCCTCCGCCTCCTCCTCCCCCCTCCTCCTCCTCCTCCGCCTCCTCCTCTCGTCCCCCCCTCCTCCTCGTCCTCCTCCTCCTCCTCCCTCCTCCTCCTCCTCCTCCTCCTCTCCCCCTGCCCCTCCTCTCCCTCCTCCTCCTCCTCTTCCTCCTCTCCTCTCTCTTCTTCTTCCGTCCTCTCTTCTTCCTCCTCTCCTCCTCTTCCCTCTGACCCCTACCCCCTCCGTCTCCTCTTCTCCTCCTCCTCCTCCTCCCCCTCCCCCTCTCCTCCTCCCCGTCCCTCTCCTCCTCCTCCTCCTCCTCCTCCTCCTCCTCCTCCTCCTCCTCCTCCTCCTCCTCCTCCGTGGTCGGCACCGACGGGGCCGCCGCCGACGCCGCCGCCGCGGGCGCAGGCGGTTGTCCCCGAGATCCTGGCATCTGTGTCTTTCTACATAACTTCTCACGTCGCGCTACTGGGCGTGTCCGCAGGGCGAGCCAAGCGTTTCGCCCCAGACTTCCTCACCACAAAGGATTCTGAAGCTGGACCTTCCTACTCGCATTCGTTTCATTGATTTTTGGCGGGGCGTTTCCCACATTTGAGCTCTCACCACCGCACCGCGCACATTCGTCGTAACAGTTTGCGACACATTCACGGATGTAAGGGGTGGCCAGTTTCAAAATGTTTCTTCTGCCTTAGCGCAGCGCACGCGCGTCTGAATGGTTAGCACCCGTTTTGCGGATACAGGGCGAGGGTGGCTTTCACAATGTTGCTCTCGCCTCAGCGCTCCACACACTCGTCTGTGACATTCGCAGCGGGTTTACCGATGATGGGCGTCTCTTTTCCGCATGCTTTCTCGCCTTATCGCTGCGCGCGTTCGTGTTTCAAGTTCGCAGCCCTTTCAATGGTGGGAGGAGGAGGAGGAGGAGGAGGAGGAGGAGGAGGAGGAGGAGGAGGAGGAGGCAGTTTTCAAAACGAGGCTCACGCCCCAGCGCCGCGCACATGCGCCTTAAAAGGTTGCAGCACTTGCACACCTTGAAAGGCGGCGTCGCTTTCCAACTGGAGGTCTCGCCAGAGCGCCGCGCGTATTCGCTACGACATGCTGCAGTCGCTTCACGGATAGAGGGCGGCTCTCTTTCCAAAGGGGGCGCTCGCCCTGGCGCCACGACCACTCCTCTCAACATGCTGCAACGTCTTCACGGATTCCGCACCGGTCGTCTCAAGGCTCTCGTGCCAGCTCCGCACGCATTCGTGCTTTTGTGCAACGTCTAACACGATGGAGGACTGTTCTTTTTCAACGCTGGGATCTCGAGTGGGATTTCGCTCCATTGCCAAACCCGCCACTTCAATGCATGAAGCGCTGCACTGGTCTGGGGCGGCTCTTTTTCAAACCGGGGCTGTCGCTTGTGCCTTCCTCTTCCTCTTCCTCCTCCATCCCAATGTCCTTACACATAATTCCTCCCTGTCGCACCACCTGACGTGTCGGCAGGGCGGGCCAGATGGTTCGCCTGAGACTCCCCACAGCATACGACCCTGACGCTGTATCATCTGGAATAACCTCACAGATTGAGGGCGGGGCGCTCCCGAAATGGAGCTCTCGCAGTGGCGCCGTGCACATTCGTATTAAATGTTAGTGGCACTTTATTGGATGGAGGTCGGGTCGTGTTCTAAATGTGGTGCTTGCCTTGACGCCGCGCACATCCGTCTGTGAAGTTTGCAACAGCTTCACGGATGAGATGCCACGCGCATTCGTCCTAAATGCTTGTAGCAACTTCAGGATTGGTTGGGAGCGGTTTTCAAACTGTGGCACTCGCCTGAGCGCCGCGTGCATTCGGATTGCAGGTTCGCAACAACTTTACAGATGAAGGTGGGGGCAACATGTGGATCCCGCCTCAGCGCCGTCACGCTCGCCTTAAGACGTTGGAACCGCTTCAAGTGTTTTTTGTTGTCGTTTTTTTTTTTTTTTTTTGGGGGGGGGGGTTCTGTTGCTAATTATATCGTTTTGTTTATTGCGATTTTCTTGTTAAGAGCGAGGGCCCTCGCCTTGGCGCCGCGCGCATGCGTGCCCCCACGTTTGGAGCAATTCACGGATGGAAGGGGGTCGCTTTCAAGCTGGGCTGATGGAAGGGGGTTCGTCTTCAAACTGAGCATCTCGCCTTAAGCGCCGAGCGCACTCGTGCCCACGTGCTGCAATCGATTCACGGATAGAGGGCGGCTTATTATCCACGTGGGGCTTGGGCCTTAGCGCTGCGAACATTTGCCTCAACATGTTGCGACTGTTTCGCGGATGGAGCGCTGGTCGCCACCAGAATGAGGCTCTCGTTGCACAGTTGCGCGCGCTCGCCTTACACATACAACGTCAAGCAGAAGGGAAGACTCTTCGTTTTCAGCGTTGACCTCTCGCGCGGGACGTCGCCAACTTCTCACACAGCCTCGAGGTTCAACGCATGTAGCGCTACACTACACGGATCCGGGGCAGTTCTTTTTCAACATAAGGACTGGCGCTCGAACTTTCCTCGGAGTTCATGGCCACACAAGTGAAGGCTTGGGAACATGTAGAGGGATGTGGGGCGACACTTCTTCGAAAGCGCGTTCCCGAGTGCGCGCCAGAAATCTGCAGGGCCACTCCTTTTGAAAGAAGGACCTCGCCGCAACGGCAGGCGCCACTGTGGTGGTCTTCGAGGGGGGCGCGTCTTGTGGTGAAAAGGTACACATGTGTGGGCGTATGAGGAGGCCATACGGGACGGGAGGGTGAATTGCAGCATCGCTGATGCATCTTTGACTTACTCTGGTCCTCCTTCTCTTCTTCTCCTTCTTCCTCTTCCTCTTCCTCCTCTTCCTCCTCCTCCTCCTCCACCTCCTCCTCCTCCTCCTCCTCCTCTTCCTCCTCCTCCCTTTGCCCCAATAGGGTGCGCAAACTTGGAAACTAGGCAATGCGGGCCTGGTCCGGATGGGAAGCTCTACCCGCAGGCTTCGCGGAAGCGCTGGCGGCTGGGCACGGCGTCGAAGGCGCGGCCGGCTTCGGAGGTGGACCTCCGCAGCATGCGGCGCGCCAGTGGAGGAACCAAGCCCCTGATGCTGCACCATGGCGGGCTGCGAAGAGAAAGGCGGCTCAGAGCATGGAGGACCCCGAGTCTGTCCAACGTCGTCCGAGGGCCACCAAGCCAGCTGCTGAGAAGCGCTCCCGAGGAGTCCCGAGAGGCGCATAGTACGCACGCCGCCGAAGAGCAGCTCTTCAGCCACTACCCCCCGCCCGGCGTGCGGCGCCTGCCGACGGACCCCGACATCATGCACAAGTTCGTGAATGCGGGCGCCCACATAGCGAACTTCGGAAACCCTGAACCCAAAAACGTTTCCATCTCTTGGGGGCGCATCTTCTACTTCCGCCGCCTTCCGCCACCCTTCCGCCGGCTTCCGCCGGCGGAGGCGACCTCGTTTTACTTCCGCCGACCTTCCGCCGCCCTTCCGCCGCCTTCCGCGGCGGAAGAGATGCCAACTCCTTCGATCCTCGAAGGGAAGGCCATTTCTGGAACGCCTCACATGGAGCGCGAGAGCGTGTGGTACCCGTGAAACCGGTGTGCAGGCTCGCAATACAAAGGCAGGCGTACCAGCACCCCGTCCAGGCAAAAAAATAAGCCCAGTGCAGCGCCAGCAGGCCAGCGACACCGCTGGACCAGCGCGGGCGGCTCAGCCTGCGCCGGAGTCTGGCCTCACCCAGGAGGAGCTGGACATCCTCAAGTCTGTGGCGCCTTGAGCGCGTGGCGGCGCAAGCCGAGCGCCTGGCCTTCTGCAGCGTGCCTCCAGCTGAGGTCGAGGGCCGCCCCAAGCACGAGGACAAGCGGGATAAACAGGTCAAGGCGAAGAAGGAAGACACACACACACACACACCGTGGTCAGCGACGCCTTAGACGGGGAGAAGGGCAATCACCCATAATTAGGTCATTGGGACGCCCAAGTCCATGGAGCAGAGGGTTGAATCTCTCAGTCAGTACCCAGACGACCGACGCACCAAGGAGGGCAAGCGCCGCAAGCGCGAGAGCGCAGCCCAGGCAAAGTGGAGGCATGGCAGGGTGCCCACGTGAAAGCGTGCCCCTAAGCGGGCACGCCGCTCCGACGCGCATCCTCTTACCACAAGCGCATCTGTTTTTCTGGTGCTCTGGCAGATGGCACTCTTTTTTCAAAGGGCGCCTACAATATTGGGCATCCGTGGCTTACCCTTGGCCGAGGTCCGAAGTGCGGGACACGGGAGCCCAACGCGGCGACTGCACCAACGAGTGGGCGGGCCCCGCCGATGATCTGCTATGCGCGTGCGTCGGCGTCCCGAAGCGGCGTCACCTGTGAATCGCAGGCTTGGTGGCCAGGAGTGTCCCCAGCCGCAGCCCGTGCGGCGCAGTTGGCTCCTTGCCCCGCCCCCTCCTCATCCTCCGCCTCCCTCCGGCGCAAGATCCCACGTGTTCATTGCGCTTCCTGACCCCAAGCGCAGGAAAGGGCCACAGCCGTGCCCTGCAGTGCAAGTGCGTGCAGGCCGAGGGCTGCGCCCGTTGCGTGGCTAGCTCTGCTTCGGCGTGCGACCAGGCTTTCTATCTGAGGAGCTCTCAAAGAGTTCCTTCTGCTCCACCTGCTCCTCCTCCCTCCCTCCCTCCCTCCCTCCCTCCCTCCTCCACAGCATCGTCAGACCACTCTCCATCTCCAGTGGGACAGGGCTCCGAAGCGTCACGCGCCCGCCTCCTCGAGGTGGGGATGGACGCCGCGCCACCCGACGGGGAGGGCACTGATCCCCGAGGAAGGACCAAACAGCATTAACGTAAACTCTCGACGGTCCCCGCGGATTTCTCGGGGGGGGTGAATTCGATCCGCTGGTGCATCGAAGGATGCCCCCTGCGCGCCCCGATTGTCGACACCTCTCGGGTTCCTCGCTTTGCATTGTTCTTCTGCGGTTTTTGATGCGCCAGCGGACCGAACTCACCCCCCCCCTTGTGCCCCCCCCCCTTTGCGAGGTCCCGATCCTGCAGACCGACGACAGTCGAGAGCCCTCTGCCGTTTCTCTTTTCACAACGCGCGGGTGCTTGGTCTTAGGTCGGGCCTGCCCCCCCCCCCCCCCCCCCACAGGGGGATTTTGCACGAAAAATAAAAAGAATACTCCAAACATGCTCCAAACAAGGAGTCAAAACTACGAACAAAAAAAAAACGTCCCCAGACGAGTCTTGGACTAGTTCTGAATATTCCCCCTCTGTACACCCTGCGAAATGCTTAAGAAATCATGGGTTAAGAAATTCATAGTCTCAGAACTTGAGTAACGACCCAACACTTCTATTAAAATCTTAAGATTTACATTGAAACGTTAAGAATAATCGAGACTCTGGCCGAAAACTTAAGTTTTCTTAAGCATCGCCTAAGGTGTAGAGGGACAGGCCCGCCTTCAGCTTGGTCTTCAGGTCATCGCTCGGGCCTCCGGCGCCCGCCCGGGACGATCCCGGGCGCCCCCCCTCTCGACGAGGCGCGGCGGCCGGAGAGCACCCCTATACAGGCCGGGGGGAATGCCGCATAAGGAGGCCGCGGGCAGGGGGCCACGAGCGAAGCCTACCCCCTGCCCCCCACGATTTCTGAGGGGGAGGGTGGGGTTCACTTCGCTCGTGACCTCCCGAGAGAAGTGAACCCCACCCTCCCCCTCAGAAGTCGTGGGGGGTAGGGGTAGGGTCCGCTTGTGGCCCCCCTAGCGGGAGCTGCAGAAACCTTCCGACGAGAACTCCGGAGGTCCCCGGAGGTGCAGCATCTCTTCTGCCAGCCTCTCGCCGCGGGGTGCCGGCGGACCACGGGCGATGTCCGTGAGAATGGCGCGCTGCAGCTTGGTGCGGTGTCCCAAGGCCCCCAATTTCTCGACGACCTCGAGCGGTATTCGCTCCTCGGCCTCGTCGTCGTCGTCCTGCCACCGTGTTCTTTGTCAGGTGAGACAACAAACGAGGCCCTGCTTAAGAGGCATCGAAGCGGGAGAGATCAGGAGATGGCAAGAACGTAGGTCCTCACCGAGGGGCCCCACTCCAGCCACGCACTCAGGGGCAGTGCAAGACCGTGCGGACCCTTCACTCTGAATACTGGCATTTCGGATTAGCGCTGGGATACTGACAAGAGTCGTTGCCGTATTAGTAGTAGTCTGCATCACACTAATGCGGCGGTGGGCCAAGAGCGCAAGTGGTCGCAACAATATTTGCCGAACTACCGGAACCAATTAGCAGTCGGAAATATACTACCAACTGGTTGTTGCAGTAGTTGTGTTGTGGTCGCGATCGTGATCGCAGTCGCGCTCGAAGTGTCGTCGGCACTCGTCGTGGCACCAATTCTTGGGAGAATGTTCTGGTGAACTCACGTTCCTCAGGGTTCCCTCCTGAGCCCGGTCGGCGCGTGAGCCCGTTCGGCCGCCGGATGGGCAGCCGAACGGGCTCGTTTCCAACAGTGCGGCGGGAAGCTGGCCCGTCCGGCAGTCGAAGGGGCCCTACTCTTGCGCCCGCTCGGCGGCCGCATGGGCTCCGAGAGCCGAGCTGGGGGTGCCCCAAGCCGTGGGCGTCGTGCGGGCGCTCCTCGCAGGATCGGCACCCAGACCCCTCCCAAGACGGGCCTCGCGGGAGGGGGGGGGGAGGGGGCAAGGAGAGGGGAGCCGGGGAGGGGAGGGGAAGGGAAGGGGGAGGGGGAAGGGGGGAGGAGGGGAGGGGAGGGAGGGAGGGGGGAGGGGAGGGAGGGGAGGGGAGGGGAGCGAGGGAGGGGGTAGGAGGGGAGGGGGGAGGGGAGGGAGGGGGGAGCAGGGGAGTGGAGGGAGGGGGGAGCAGGGGAGGGGAGGGGGAAGGGGAGGGGGGAGGGGGGGGAAAGGGGGGAGGGGGGAGGGGGGAGGAGGGGCGGTTGGGCGGGGCCGGCTGGCGGGCAGCGCGGGCCAGAGCTCGCCGGGCTGGGGCAGGCGAGGCTCGTGTGCAGGGGGCGGAGGGGTGGTTGGGTGGGGGAGGGAGGAGGGGAGGGAAGGTCGGGAGCGGCCAAGAGGGGGGTGTCCAAGAGGGGGGGGGTGCAAATCATGACCGGCGGCATGTGCGCGGCCCAGCGGGGGGGCCAGGGACGTAATGAAATAAGAAGAGGCGCCATGAAATCTGGGGAAATATCATGGCCCTCGCCATGATATCCCCCCCCCCCCTAATCATCACCCCCTCTTTTCCGCCCCCGAGAAGGGGAAGGAGGGGCGGTTGGGTGGGGCCGGAAATCGTGCACAGAGCTTGCAGAAGACGGCGAAGCATAATGACCGCCAGCATCAACATTGCCATTGCCAGTTGCATTGGTATCGCAACACTCCTGCTTGGGCAACACCCGCTTCGCAAAGAAGGGGTGCTCCATGCACTGCCGCACGGTGGGCCGAGCGCGCGGATCCTTCGCGAGCATGCTGGAGACGAGCGGAGGCAAGTCCGAGCAGCGCCGCCAATACCCTGTGATATCCGCCGCCGTGCCTTCAGCACAGAGTGGGGCGCGACAAGGCCAAGACAAATCTTCCAGATTCCAAAACGGGATTGTAGGATTTGGGAATGTAGGGCTCGTGAGGCGACCCAGGCACGGTGGAAGGATGGGCCGAAGGCCCCTGGATAATCCATGCTGGGGAGCTTCGTGAGCGTGGCGTTCTTCATTGCATCGTCGCCCGCGGCGTTGAAGCAGCGCTCGCCGTTCGAGAAGATCTGGTAGGTGACCACGCCGAGCGAGTGCACATCCCCCTTGGGTGTCCACAACCCTCTTGTCCACACTTCTGGTGGCATGTACCCTGGCGTCCCACCCCGCGTGCCCCGCGTTGCAAAGTTGTGTGCCAATCCGAAGTCGATCACCACAGGGGTGGGCTCGTCCCATCCGTCTCTTGAGGCGATCATCACGTTGGACTCCTTCAGGTCGCAGTGGACGATGCTCGGAGGAAGGCCAGCCGAAACCACGGCGGCCCTCCCTGGCAACCTCTACTGCCCTTTTTTGGACCTCCCGGAGGCTGCGACGAACGGATCCGCCTCGAAGGACAGATCGGGACGGGCCCCGCGGGGAGTCCGCGTGGGCCGCCCCCAGATGGAGGAGGAGGAGGAGGAGGAGGAGGAGGAGGAGGAGGAGGAGGAGGAGGAGCAGGAGGAGGAGGAGGAGGAGGAGGAGGAGGAGGACGAGGGAGAGGAGGAGGAGGAGGAGGAGGAGGAGGAGGAGGAGGAGGAGGAGGAGGAGGAGGACGAGGGAGAAGAGGAGGAGGAGGAGGAGGAGGAGGAGGAGGAGGAGGAGGAGGAGGAAGGACAGATCGGGACGGGCCCCGCGGGGAGTCCGCGGACAGCTCTCGAGCGGCACCGGGGCCGGGCGCGGCGGGCCGCCGCCGGCCTCGGCCGGCCGCCCTGCGAGGATGTACCGGCTGTGCAGGTACGCGGCTCCCTGCAGCACCTTGTGCAGCACCTTGGCCAGGGCCGCCACCGCGCCCCCTTGGCACGTTGGGGCGCGCTGGAATGTCGTCGTCGTCGTCGTCGTCGTCGTCGTCGTCGTCGTCGTCGTCGTCGTCGTTGTCCAAGTGCTGTCCTGGTGGGGTGTCGGACCATCTTCGGGCCCCCCCCCCCTCTCTCCCGAGGCCAGAGTCCCTCTCAGGACGCGGCAGGCACGCGCTCCCGAGGCCACAGATCCTTCGTGACATGCCACGCAGATGTCTGCGCTCCCGAAGCCAAGATGCCTCCAAGACGGCCTAAGATGACTCCAAGACGGCCCACTGTAATCTCAAAACGGCCCAAGCTGGCTCCAGGATGGCCCATGAGGCCTTCGACACGTCCCACGAGAGCCCCACGAGCCTTCCCAAGAGAGCCTCGAGGGACAACCACTGATTCTGTTTCTCTGGTGTTCCGAATGATTCTGGGGTTCTCGAGTATGTATTCGAGCTTCCGACGGCCCAAGGCCTCCGAGGGATCCAATACTTCCCAAGAAGCGCCCAAGGCTGCCCGATAGGGCCCCACGACGACCCCAAGAATGGCCCAAGAGGGCCCCACAACGGCCCAAGAGGGCCCCTAGGTGCCCACACGACGGCCTCACAGGAAGCCACGACACCCACACGACGGCCCAAACGAGCTCCGTGAGGGCTCCTCAGTTAGTGACGACGACAAGCGTCACATGTGACGGCCTTCCTCTTCTTCCTCCTTCGTGCTCCCCCTCCTCCTCCTCCTCCTCCTCCTCCTCCTCCTCCTCCTCCTCCCCCTTTCACAGCATCATCATCATCATCCTCATCCTCGTCTTCCTCCTCCTCCTCCTCACCACCACCATCATCACCACCACCATCCTCCTCCTCCTCCTCCTCTTCCTCCTCATCACCATCATCGCCATTATAAGCAACATCAGTGTCATCGTCATGATATTCACCATCATCATCGGCATCATCAACATCACCATCACCAGCAGCATTATCATCACCGCCACCATCGCTGTTAGCATCACCACCATCCGAATCATCGCCGTCAGCATCATCACTATCACCGCCATCATCACCATCATCGCCACCACCGCCATCATCACCACCATCTTCACCACCACTATGATCATCACACTTACCATTACCACCATCATCATAATCCCCACCAGCATCATCATCATTCTCATCATCATCATCACCCTCATCAGCATAATCATCATAATCGTTACCCTCATCATCATCATCATCCTCACCATCCTCATCATCACCATCATCATTATCGTCAACACCACCGTCAACATCATCATCACCATCGACATCACCATCATCATCACCACCATCATCATCGGCATCATCAACATCGTCATCACCACCATCGTCATCACCATTACCATCACCATCACCATCACCATCACCATCACCATCATCATCATCATCATCATCATCATCATCATCATCATCAGTACCCGTATCACCATAATAATGACCATCAACAGCACCAACATCATCATCCCCACCACCACCACCACCTTCGCCACCACCTCCATCATCATCATCATCATCATCATCATCATCATCATCATCATCATCATCATCATCATCATCATCATCATCATCATCATCATCATCATCATCATCATCATCATCACGGCTTCCCTAAGCCTGGGAGACACGAGGTGTCACACGTGACCAGCTCTCGTGTTCCCTCGAACAGTCGCCACCCAAAATGCTGGGCTGGCACGGTGGCGGGACTTGCCGCAGGCAGCTGGATAGCTGCTGACAACATGCACCCCTGCTTCAAACGCATTCTCTATCAAGTCCCCGAGATGGCCTCCGTAATACGGTTCCGAGACGATGTATACATTGTGCCGGTCCTCGAATATATCATACAACCTCTGTATTCTAGGGTGGTCGAGGGACCGGAGGAGGTTGAACTCGCTCTTGATCTCTTCCAGAGGGCCACTCGCGTTCCCTTTGTCGTAACACTTTACCACGCGTGGCAGACCGGTTGAATTTTCCACAGCAAGGTACACCACGCCCTGTCCACCCTGCCCGAGCTTCTTGGTCAAATGGTAGTGCACCTCCAGATGCTTCGACTCGATCTGCAGCATCTTGTGAGGGCGACTGCCCGAGGGCCGGGCATCGTGCAGGTAGTGGCGCAGCATCGACTCCGCAAGCATGACGCACTCGTCCTCGTCGAGCGAGCCGTCTCCGTTCACGTCGAAACGGTCGAAGGTGGCGCCGACAGGAGGCCACCACACGCCACAACAACACCGAAACTCACGGAGGCCCGCGCGGACTGCTTTTGGGTCGGCGCTGGGGCCCCCTCCCCAGGCGCCCCCCCCCTCGCCGCGCGGAGCGCGGCGAGGGGTGGCGGCGTCGCTGGTGCGCCGGCCAGGCGTGCGGGGGGGGGGCGCCCAGCGTCGCCGCCAGACATCCGCGCGGACCTCCGGGAGTTGGTGCTCCGTGACAGTCCGCCCGCATCAGAAGGAGGCGCGGCAAGGACGCAGGGGGCTCGGGAGGCCACGCCGAGGCCTGGCGGGCGGGGCGCGGCGAGCGCGAGGGGCCATGGACAGAGGAGGCAAGGATGCAGGGGTACCCTTGGGAAGGTTGCCCATCCTTGCCATTTGCGGGTTGCCTGTATGCCGTTTGCGGGCCTTCCAGCTGAGGTCACCGAACCTCCGGGGGTCCATCCCCAGCTCCGCGGCCACGGACGCGGCCAGGCCCCGGAACTGCGGGGCGCCGAGCCTGCTCGGGAGAGCCCGAGGCGGCGCAGGGGTGGAGGAATGGGGCGGGGCCGAAAGGATGGGCGAAAAGGGGAAGGGTTACTCGGGGGGAGATCCTAGGGGAAGGAAGAATACCATAAACATAAAAACTCGGAGGTCCGCGCGGACCTCCGAGCTTTTATTACGTCAGCCCAATCCGCGGCCTCAGGAGTCCCGACACTCTCCATGGGGCAATTCCTTAAAAACATCCTGTCTCTGAGAGCCACATGTGCCGTACATGTCGTGTCTCGGTCACGTGCCAGCTCCTCCGGATCCGGCATCGGTGGCTCGTGGCTCGTCATCTCCTGTGTGGCCTTCCTCTGGGTTTCCCGTACTCTCCCTTTCAAGGGAAACCAGAAGGCACCGGTACCGCTACTCCCCGGACCTCTCCCGAGGTGCGTTCTGACCTGGGAGTTTCGGGGCGAATCCAGCGGAGGCGACGAGGGCCTCCGAGGAGGCTCCACGAGGGGACAACGAGGGACAGGCAGCGGTAGTGGTGCCTTCTCCTTCTC